ATTCAGAATGCATAAAATTTATTGCCGAAAGAATTACTCTCGCTGTTGGACTGAAATTATCCCTTGTGTAATTATATCTGGCGGCTTGATTGCTACTCCAATTATTATGGTAGAGCACTAGTTTTCAAATTCTTTAAATTAGAGCGCTCGAGCCGCGCACTTGAAAAATGAAAATCCAATTAACTCGCATCTGTGTACGGGCCACGTCATATTTGCAAACTGCAAGTTTCTTAAATGACTGCTAAAGTTGTTGTGTTGGAAAGACGCGTTTAAAAATCTGTAATTAAATGAAAACCAATTTTGCTCAGTCACACTTAATTTAGTTCGATTTAGTGTTTTTGATTTAGTTTAGTTGAAAAGACTAGGCTTTTTTCAACCACCATGCTAAATTAGTAGGCAAAAAATGTCGAGGAGCTGAAAACGTATAACACCAGTTATTTAGGCCGTCTAGGCAGGTGACGTGAGGATTCCATATTAGTGATGTCATTGGACTGGATGATATTTTGAGCACAAGCGAACCAATGCGTTAGCTTTTGGAAAATGGCTTAACAAATTTTACCACTGCGCAACTATCAGCAATGATCGATAAACGGAACAAGCAAATTTCAGGTCAGTGCAAGAACTGCCCAGTGTATCAGTACATGGCCGGCTGTCTAACCCTCACTGATTGGCAGCTCTCCGACTTGGCGCTTTCCAGGCAACGTGGTGAGCTGTTGGCGACCCGAGTTGGCGCCACTCTTTTGTGCGAGGATTCGATAAATCAGACTACGTGCGTCTGCAATCGGAAAAATAAGTGTAACGATATCCACGCTCGAGCACCTTTCTCCACTTATAGTGGTTAGTCTCTTTTGTGCTTTTCGCTTCTCTTCAACTGACAATAGACCCGCTAAATTCGGTTTAGCATAGCTTGCGCGTCTTTCAGACCCTTCGTTCCTAGGTAGCATACGTCCATTTAGTATGTCAGTGTCTACATGAGCCGTCTCATACGTGGACGTGTATAAGCCGTTTCTTAAGGAGGTTACCAGATTAGTCATTCAT